TCGTCCACTGAAAAGTTTATTTACCTAAAAATAAATTTGTCTGATAAAAACTCTTTCCTTTTTTTCCAGTCTGAAAATTTTATATATATATATATATATATATATATATATATATATATATATATATATATATATATATATATATATATATATATATATATATATATCTAAAAATAAGAGTGTCTGACAATAAAACACATATTCTAGTAAACAAATTTCTTAATTCCGATGGTAAAAAGTTTATAAACCTAGCAATAATAGATTGTCTGACCATACAACAGCTGTACTACTAAAAACACTTTTTTTTTCTCTTTTCGAAAAGATTATCTACCGAATGTTGCATTTGTCTGACGAAAAGGTATCTTTTCTACTAAAGAAGCTTTTTTTTCCTCTTTTTAAAATTTTTATATTTCTGAAAATTATATTCTCTGTCCAAAAAACAGCCTTTCTTTTGAAGAAACGTTTTTTTCTCTATCTGAATAACTTATTTATCTAAATCTTTTGTCCATATCATCTTATACCAAATAAATATTGAAAATAGTTTTTGTTGGACATTTTTGAAAAAAAAATTTTCAAAATAGATTTTCATTCCGACAGGTTTCACTCTAAAGCCTTAATTATTATTATAAATTCAAAATAGTAAAAAAATCTTTCTTTCATTAATATTCTCTCTTTCAATTTTTTTTATTATTGCTTTCATCAATATTATCCTTACTAATATTAATCAATATTTTATATCATATAAAATACTATTTTAAGTTGCAAGTGAACGTCATATAGCTATATATATATACAAGTATACACGGCCTGAGGGAAGATATTTAAAGTTTACTTGCGAGTAAGCTTCTAAAGAGCAAAATAGAAATTTCTTGAGTGATATTATTAGTTGTGTAACAACATTTTGTAGCGAACGTTGTAAATGTGTATATACAATATAATATATATACTTATATTTCTACACGTATAATGTATATATACATATATTTATACAAGTTGCATCGATAACGCAACAACCTCAGTTTATAACTTCGATGAAATGAACTAATAGTTGTGAAACAACCCTGAAGTGTTTTCCGTGAGTGTACACAAGGGTCTGACGGAAACTTTTGGTTTGTTTGACGTATGCGCATTGAAGGATTAAACTATTTAGACTTTAGGCGTGTCATGAAACAAGCATAAACTTCGTGCTTGAACCCTTAACTTTGAATCCAGCTTCTCATACTATTTTAATAATTTGATTCTCAAGACTAGTTTACCCTTCATCTTCTGATTCAACACACATACAATAAATCAAAACTCACACTTAATCTATCAATATAAAGTTTTTTTCTATTTTAATAAAGTAATTATAGTCATTTTGCAATAAAAATTTTACAATCCAAATTTTGAAATTTATAAATAAAATTTTTTTATATTATTCTTACTATGACTATTATTACGATTATTATATTATTACTAGCAACAATTCGCGCGCGGTTAACTTTTTACTTCCTTTTAAAAATAAAATTTTTAATAAAATTATCAATTTTAAAAATAATAGAACGTAAAAATTTTTAATTTAAATTTATTTTCATAAAAATAAAATATGAATTAGAATATAGTTTTAATATTATTATAACTATAAGAATCATATATTCTGATACAGGGAATTCAGGGAAAAGTCAGGGATTTTTATTAAAAGTACTGAAAAAAATGTAATTTTTTATAAGAAAATTCTGAATTCTTGTGTCTTTTTTGTTTGCCTCATAAACTATGAAATTACCACAAATTATAGAAAAAAAACCTTCAATTTTTTTTAATTTCTCACAATAATTTCTTCTTAAATAACGTAAACCTTGAACAACTATCATACAAAAATGACTTATAAATTATTAAATGAATAATTTTACTCAAATACTTCAAAATTAATTCAATTTTAAAACAATTGCTTTTACAATTTTCATAAATAATTCAACTTTAAAATTTTATAAAATTTTAATTTGGAATTAATTTAATCAGAAATTTTAAGGAACTTAAATTTTTGAAAAATTTTAATAATTCAATATCTTCTAAAATAAGTTAAATTTGTCAACATATATTTAATTAATTATTAAAAATAATGTATTTATAGTTACGAATGATTGCAAAAATTCTATTACTTTCAAAAGTAATAAAATTCTTATCACAAAATTTAATTATGCTCAAAATTGAAAAAAAATCTCGTCAAAATCCCAATTATCTTTGTAAATAATAAAATTCTTCTTTAAAATTCAATTTTTTTCAAACATTTTTCTCATTTCAATAATTTTCAAAATCTCTACTATTTAAAACTGCCCAAAAGAAATCAATTATTTAAAAAAAATTTTAATAAAATTGTACGCAAACATAATTTTATTATTTTCATAAATAATAAAAATTATTATTTACAAGTTTTTAATAAGTTTCTTCTGAATAATTCAATAATTTTCATAATAACTGAGATTAAAATTTAAAATAAAACTCATCGCAGAGTTTCAATTATTTTTAATATATGATTTTAATTGAATTCCTTGAAAAATGTAACTATTCTTAAAAAATTTATTAATATTTGTCAAATAAATTCAATTACTTACAAATTTGGTAAAAAAAAATTTTTTCAAGAATTTAATTTTAAGAAACATTCAATTATTCAATAAAATATTTACTATTGCATTTAAATAATTGAATTCTCTTAGAATTTTCTAATAAAAATCGATTTAAAAATGAATTTTAGTTATAACATTTTAGATTATAATTGAATATAAAAATAATTTTTAAGAAGTAACAGTAACAATATTCTTATAATATAAAAAAAAAAAATATCTCTCGAACGTCTTTAATCGTTATCTTCATGTTTTATAACAATATTATTAAAGTTGTTTAATTTCGAAAAGGTTTAAATTTGATATTATTGAAAATCTTAATTTCTATGGAAAAATAATGATTAAATATTTATTTAAAAAAAAATTTATTGATGTTTTTAAATAATTTTGCAATTAAAGAAATTCGTAAATAAATGTAACAGAACATTTTTTTTTAATAAAATTTTGTCCTTTATTTTCTAAAAAATACAAAATTTTCATATTCAATTAAAATTTGTAATTAAGAAATAGAATTTATAAACATTTTTTCCTTTATTTTTAAAAAACTTTGAATTTTATTAAAACAATTGTAATTAAGAAATAGTAATGTTTTTATTTTTTTTAAACTTTGAATTTTATTAAAACAATTGTAATTAAGAAATAGTAATGTTTTTATTTCCCAAAATAAAAGAATGAGTTTGTGAACAATATTGTTATTGAGAAATATAAATTATGCATAAAATGGGTTTTCCTATTTCCTATTTCTTAATCATAATTTTTTAACAATTTTTATATTTTTTTATAAATAAAAAGGAGAAAAATTTGCATAATTTGGATCAGTCAAACGAAATTTGTTAGAGAAAAAAGCATATAATAAACAAAATGGGTTTATTTTTCATTTGTTAATCATCATTTTTTAAAATTTTCTAACTTCTAATATTATTTTATTATGGAATCGTGAAAAAATACTTGCATATTGTCGATTTGTCAAACAATATTTTTTAAAGAAAAACAAAACAAAAGCATACACAAAAACTAACTTCAAATTGCGGACAGAATGAATGAAAGAATACGAAGATTAATATAGTTAATTATTACTATCATTATTATGATTGTTCAACTCAATGTTTTATAATTTATTATTATTAATGTACCTACCTTTTGTCGTTACCCACTTTGTCGAATAATTGTTATCGTTTTATTGTAAATAAAATTTAAATAATAATATTTATTTTTTATTATAATGATTGATAATTTAAAATTTTATTTTTTGTTATATTAATATTGTATTATTATTATTGTTACTATTATTATCATAGGGTTGTTACTATTATTATTAGGGTTATTACAATTGTTATCATAATTCCAATTATTTTTTCATCACTATAATTATTATTTATTACATTTTCATTGTAAATAATTAATTTCAATTTAATGTTAATGTCTTAAAAAGAAATCAATTTGATGATTAAGACTTAAACATTTATTGACATAGCGGAAGGTATGTTAATGGTTGAAAAAAATACATGAAGAGCTGGTGTTTAACATTGTGAATAATTTATTAATATGGGCGTCAGTTAGAGGCGAACAGGATATACATACAAAGTTGTTAGTGCCTGTGTAAACTGAAGTATTGATCTTTTTCAACTTACGAGGATATGCGGTGCCTGCAATAATGCATCTAATCATATAGGTACATATACATATATGTACATGGTGAGTCAATATTGATCAGAGAAATATGAAAATGGGAAGAAGAAAAAAAGTTTGAGAAAATATTTCAAAATTTCCATTTTTTTTTAGACAATTATCAAGAATTTAGAATTGAAGAAAATTTCCTATAATTTTCGAATAGAAAACAAAATTGCATTAATTTTTAAAAGAGATAAATTTTGAAGAAGAAATTCTAGAGAAAAGTTAATTCGAATTAATTATAACGATTAAAATGCAATTAGTTGGTAATTATCTCTGTTTACAATTGCGAGAAAATGAAATATTTAATATTAAATATTTATATACGAAAATGTTTTAGTTTTTTCTAAAATTATTATTTATTTTCCATGTTTATATTCGAAAGAGAGTTTATTTTACGATTTAAGGAAACAAAGTGCGTATAGTATTCGATAATAATAAAAAATATTTACTCCGTAAAAAAAGAGACGTAAAACACTTTTAAAGATATGTAGAAAAAAAAATTTAATATTCTTTCCCTTCACTTCCTTCAACAATTCTTTCAGCAAAAGGGAATAACTGAATTTCTCTATTCTTTAAGAGTAAAATTGACAAAATTTTTATTAAAAAAAAAAATGGTTCATTAGGTCAAAATTTATCTTTAGAAATATCGAATAATGGGAGAAATTCTATTTTATAATGCATTGAGAATATTTTTTTTACGTGCCCTCTTTTCTTTTTATGTTGCAGTCGGCGCGTTGAGGCTACTTGAGATAAAAGTTCCAACATATACTGTGAAGGGACAAAGTACCATTCTACAGTGCAGGTAAGGGCACTTATTTCACATTCAAGATAGTCAAAGAAAAGACACAGTGAATGACTGAGTGAGAGTGAGAGGAAATAAGATAGAATATGACCCCGATTATTTATATATGTATGTATATATATATATATATATATAAACTTAATCTAAAGAATTTAAAAAGAAAAAAAAATTTTCTCTCCTCTCACATTTTTCGTTTGCTGGAAATAAAATCAAACAAGTGTAAAAAAGAATTTCTGTATATTTCAAACAACTTCAGAATATTTGCAATCTTCTATTTTTTTAGACTTTTTTTAGTAAATATATTGACTATAATAAATAAATAATAAATAAATAATAAATAAATAACAAATAAATAATAAATAAATAATAAATTGATAATAAATGAATAATTAATAAATAAATACTTCCTCTATAAGGAAGTTATAATAATTAAAATTCACCGAATGTAATTTTTTCTCTATATTAAAAATAAACCCCAAAAAGTTCAGTTTCATTTTACTTAAAAATTCAAGTGACAAATTATTATTATTAATTCATTCAAATGGGAAGCGAAATAATTAAAATATCATTCTATTCATAAATGACCCGTTTTTTCCTTTAATTGAAACACAGAGAAAGCCAAAAACGAGTATTATTAAAATATAATTATAAGAAATTTATCAAAGGATGTAAAATTATTCGGATAATAATAATAATAATACGAATATATAAAATAACTCAAATGTACATTTAATTCAGTTTATGAAAAAAGTATAAAATTATTAAATAATGAAATTAATTACTAGTACCTATGTAATTATTATTATAATTTTAAATAATAAACTTTAGAAAATATGGAAAATCTTTCATTCTTCATTGACAATGAGAATATATTTTCTTTTGTTTCGAATGCATTGTTTAATAATTATGGATAAAATTTTGCTTTTTGAATAATTAGTGAATAATACAATTGTGAATATTAATTATAGAAATAATTTTTGTTTCTTTTTGTTGTGTGTGCGGTAAACTTAAAATATATTCTCTTCATAATGTTTAATGAGTAAATGAGCTATAATAGCGTTGACATTCGTTCCTTTTTTTTGTGTGTGTGTGTTTGTTGAATTTTGGTTAGTGAATGTACACTTTTACGTAATCCAACTTTAAACTAAAGTCCTTTTCCAATACTCATCGATTTTACAAGCCATTCCAACCTTTGCCACTAATTTATCGACGATTTGTAAGCTCTAAAGTTAACGGTCATACACCTACACCAATTCTCTTGCACCCACCCTCCCCCCCCCTATCTTGTAGCTCGCGTTTTTTTTCCACCCTATCTTGTTCAATTAATTATTCCCACTCTTCTCATCCTTTCATTCTTGTCTGCCTTTTAAACTTCTCTTTCTCTCTATGTCCCTCATTCACTTTCTACTTTCATCCTTCTGGTCTTTCCTTTCAATTTGGTAGTTTTCATCTTTCTGCATCAAGAATATATTAAAAAAATTATTTATTTAAATATTTTAAATCGAAAACACAAATAGCATGATATTTAAGCGCAATATTGTGAAATCATTGTATAAGAATATTGTAAATTTTTCTCGGCAATAAATTATAATAATTATACAATAATATACTGTAAATTAATTAAAATTATTTTCATCATTTTAATTCAATTATTATTTTCTAGAATTTTTAATTATTTTTTTTTTCTAAATAATAATTGAATTCCTTAAAAAAATTTATTATTTATTAAAATAATTGAATTCCTGTAAAATTTTAATTATTTATGAAAATAATTAAATGTTTGCTTACAATTTTATTGAATTTTTTTTTAATAATTGAATTCTTTTTGGGAAATTCTATTAAAATTGTAGATATTGAGAATCATTGAAATTAGAAAAATTTTTAAAAATAATTGAAATTAGGTCAAGAATTTTTCTTTATGAAAAATAATTTATGAAAATATTTGAACTTTGGAGAAGAATTTTGTAAATATAGAATTTAATATTTTTTTTCTTTTTTTACCTAACCTAATTTCAGTAGTAGAAATCATTTTTAGTCAGACGCGTAATATTTAAAATTGTACTTTATATATTTTATATTAAGAAAGAAAGTATAAATCAATTTTGACAAATTCATGTTTTCTATATTTACAACAAAAATCAGTAGTAAAGTCTTAATCAGACATTTTTTTAACCTTAATTCCAATTTTATCCAAATGATTAATAACCAATTATAGTTAAAGAAACTTAAAAAAAAACTGTAAAAACTGGTATTACGCTACACAATAATTTTTTCAATTACAGTTTATTTAAATTTAGTAGAATTAATATAGAAATTTGCCATAGAATCATTTTAGTGAAATTCTATAGAATATCCACTAGAATTTATGGACAATCATTTCTATTGAGTTATTCTAGTAAAATTTTATAGCACTTTTTCTACTGGGCTAAGAAATTATTAATTAAAAACAAAAAAATTTTACTTCAAAATGAATATGAATTTTAATTAATATTAGAAGAATTTTAATTAATAATAGAAAAATTTTAATTGGAAATTCATAAATTTTAAATAAAAATCAAGAAATTTTTCTATAAAATCAATTAATTTCTAATCAATTATAAATTTTTAATATATATTGAAATATGTCTTTGTGATAAAAATCAGAAGAAAATTTTTCTGATTAATTTATGAAAAATCGTCTGTATCATTTTTATTGAGACAAATTTAAAGATTTACAATTCTCAAATTATGGAAGTATTATCAAAAGTGCTTTATAATGTTAGGAATGTTTAATTAATTATTTTAAGTTGCTCTTGTATCAAATAATGTCCTAATAGTTTTTAAAAATTGATGCTTGAATTTAGCCTTTAAAAAAATTAACTTTAAAATATCTTCAATATTTAACCGTCTACGATTGACAAATCTTATTTTTACATATAAGTAGTATTAGACAGTTTCAGACAGCCAGGTTTCAATTTTAATAGAAGAATATATTTTTGTTGATTCAATTTCTACTTATTCTCTACCTTCGTAATTAAAAAAAAAATATTGGGTATTTTAAGTCAGAAATAATCTAGTCGACTTTAAATGGAATTAAAAAACAATTGTTATTTAGAAAAAAAATTGTACAAGTTTAAAATAAGTGGAAAAAGAAGAGTTAGTCAGACGAAGGGTTTTTGAGTTTACAAACCTTCTAAACCATGTTAATGTCAGTAGTAAAAGATAGTTTATTTCAGACAAATGGACTTATTATGTAAATTATTTTAATAGCAGTAGTAAAAGACAGTTAGACTCAGACGAAACAGATATTTTTTTAAAAATCTTTCTTCGTTTATGTTAATAACGATCGTTATTACTACATCAGTAGTAATATGCTTTTTAAGTCAGACGGAATCTCTTTTTCTTTGAAGAAAATTTAATATCAGTAGTAATAAACAATTTTAGTCAGACAAGATACTTTTTTCACTTCTTTTTACTTTCTTTACAGGAATTCGTAATTTTAAATTCAGTAGAAAAAGATTGTTACAGTAAGACAAGTTTTAAATAATCAGTTGTTTTAAAACAATATAAGTAGTAATTGTCAGTTTAACTCAGACAAATTAATTTAATCTTTTTAAAAATAAGTGAAGCAAACATTAATTACAGAGACAAATTATTCTCTTTTTGAACTTTTGATCCTTGAAAATTGAGTTATTTTACTATTAAATAATATAATTAACACTTATTAAATAATACTATTAAATAAACTAGTTATAATTATAAACTATATATATATATATATTTAATATTATAAAGTTGGTGATGGGTGATTAATATGCGTACACAAACTTTGAGACTTCATAAGTCTTCTTGCAGAGACTCGTATCTCTCTTGAGGCGAACCGTGAAATCGCTTTCACCTTTCCATTCTCACTTTTCCGTTCTTTCCCTATTCCACTTTGAAAAACTTAAATTGCCCGCAGTAACTGTAATGACTCACAAGTTGTCCTAATTGTAATTATGAAAAAACTCATATTTCCTTTAGGTACGTTAAAGAAAAAGAAAAAAATGATTAATAACAATAATTATAGAATCTAATATTGTTTTTTTATTTAATAAACAAAAAAATAGTAAATTGAAAAAAATGAGAGCACAGAAAGAAAATAAAGGGAATTCTATTTTAAACGCTCCTGATTATTTTCTCATAATTACAGTATTTTTTTCAACTTTCATTACTTTTATTCTAAAAAAGAAGAGACACTTTTTTAAATTTCTTTTTAGTATTTACAAAAAAACTTCAGTAAAGTTAGTTTTTCTTAAATATGTATATAAATTCAAGAGTAAATACAGGACTATACAATATAGTGACACAATAGAATTAAAATTAAATTGCAACTAATATATTTTCTTATGAAAGAATTCTTATATTATACATATATTACACATGTGAAATTGTTGTGATTCTAAATTCTAGAGACATTTTCATATAACATCGCAAAGGCGGGTCGAGTAAACTTGCCTTAAAAAATAGAAAACATTTACATACTGAATGACAAGTTGTCGTTGCTTACAAACTCTAAACATGTGCACATACAATACGACGCGGATACGAGTCCCGAGAGCGTACTGAAGTATAAAGCAAAAACAACCTCTTGTCCAAATTTACCATATATATATAAAAAAAGTACCTTGTAAAAATGCATTACAAATTTTCTTTTCTATTTTTCCGCGTAATAGTGACTTATGTGTTTATGAAGTTCCTATTTTCTTTTCTTATTTTTTTTTCTCCTTTTTCTAAACCTTACTTAAGACAAAATTATTATAAAAAAATATTGACTGTTTTTTGAGATATTAAAATAAATTGTATTGACATTTTCGTGTAGCAGCTATTGAATAATGTAGAAATGAATGAATAAATAAATAAATTATTCAATAAATATAAATACTTTAAATCTGAATGAATAAATAAGTTTTAATAACTCAGAAAATATTTATTCTTATTTCATTTATATACTTTTAGGGCAGATAAGTAGTAGAAGAGGG